TAATATCGCTAGCGATCAACTACGTCTTCTTTTAGATCTTGTTGCTAGGTCGACCTATCAAGGGTCTGTCTATTACACATTGGTAACCCAACCTAAACCTAACCTAAAAGTAAATACGTAAAACTTGCCGAACTTTTCCCCCCTTAATGATAATTGGCCTGATAAAAATAGCAGGGAAATATATCGAGCGGAATTTACTTTTGATTACTGTTCATTTATCCGACTGAAGTAACGAATTAATAATTATGCGCATATCCGATATTGGGGAAATGTGTAGTCTGTTATTTACGTCCATGGTGAAATTAGTTGATAGACTGTTTTGTTTGGATATAGAACAATATAACGCGATAGAAAATGCGAATGAACTGGCCCTACTATACTACGAAATTAACAAGGACACAACTGGCACAACTACAAAGCTATTGTACACGTTACTACCAGCTGCCAAATTCTTGTGGACGCTTTACTTACAATCACTTTACTATTAAAACAATTAAGGCAGGTAGATCAAAGATAGGACATCGTTCAACGTAGCGTCACACAGAACAACCTTGAGACAAAAATAAAAATCTCTCTCTCGAGACTGTCTTTCTTCGAATAAACTTTTCACAATGACTTTGTCCAACTACCAACCGTTGATCCTTTTCTCATTCATATAGATATAATTATTCCTACAATATCTGTTGTCCCTTGGTATACTATACATATTACATAATATATTCAATGCTCGCACATCCGACCCACCCGCTTACACTTACACTTACACGCGTAACACTTTGCTCAACTTAATGAATTGGAAGAAGGTAATGAAAGCAAAGGTAAAATTACAGAGACTGGAAACAGAGAGTATGAAAATATGATTCGTATGAACTTACCTAATACATCCGAATTGGCTAGAACGTTGCAGCTGTACATCGGGCTAATTAGTCGTGGGTGTTTTGCATTAAATGCACGACGGCACGCTTCTTTACATGCTGACATCAAGTGGCCGCCGTCCATGTGTCCTTGACTTTGACTGCCATTTTCGCTATAATAACGTACATTTATTTCGTTACAACGGAAGGAAGAGAGAGAGAGAGAGAGAGAGAGAGAAAGGAAGAAACGTTATACGTTATACAACACTGATCAATACCTTTGCGATTCTTGATAAATCTCCCACTTCTTCACGACAAAACAGACACCCATCATAGGCTCCTCGCACAGAGGTCCGGCAAGCGTTGCCAATTGAAAACCATTGACCATACTGCTTTCGTAACTATACATGTAGCAAATAAATAGAGATATTAGAAGAACAAGTACGTATTAAATATTAAATAAAGTATTTCATTGAGCTTTGAAAGAAGACAAGTCTTGAGACTTGAGTCTGGTGTTAAACCGGTCTCGAGCTCTTAGTTATTAATCTTGGACTGTTAGAGAGAGAGAGAGAGAGAGAAAAAGAGAGACCTGTCGTGCTAACGAATTGAAAACTTACGGTGCACGTGGGTCCGCAGAGCCGTTTGAGCCGTAGCCATCCCAAAATTTCTTCTGCGCGTAATCGGTTTCGTTCAACAAAATATTGGGCCCGCACCTTCGTGGCCCGAACGACCATATTTTGTCCAACAGATCAGTCTCTTCGCCTGCTTCTCGAAACGCAGTGGCCAACTCGGTTTTGAACGATTTCAACGCCCGTTGTTTCTTCAGCGACATGGAAGAACAATGCAAAGGTTCCATCTCGCGATCAATCGCTTCTTCGCTTTTTTCCTCCTCCTCCTCCTCCTCCTCCTCCTCCTCTTCGTTCGAACGGAATTGGCCGCGATGATGATGGAACGCCTTGATCAGATCGGCGTTCCTCTCCAAGATCTTCGTGACTTTCTCGGGCAGAGGTCTCGCGTCGATTTCGAAGTAACATCGTCGATTCGCCGACCAGGTTGCGTAACTCACTCGGTTCTCTTCAGTAGTTTTCTTCAGCTCGATCACTTCGTTCGTCATGTCAACCTTCGGCGGAGGTACGACCGTCTCTCTAAACGGCACGATAGGCTCCGACACGTTTATGTCGACCCTTGCGTAGCGTAGCTTCAAATCTTCCAAACATCTCTCCAAGTGCACTTCTCCAGCAGTGCTCAACACAATCTCTCCGCTCTCCTGGATGTGAACGACGGCGCAAGCGTCTGCCTGATTGAGCAATTTCAACCCATTAATCAACGATTGTAGATCGTTGGGATGTTTCGGTTCAAGGGCTACTCGCATTATCGGCGTATCGAACAAGGTCAACTCTGAGAACGACGGACAAGCAACGGTGGTGGACAGCGTTGCTGTTTTCAACACGTAGTCTTCCAGGCCGCCGATTCCAAATACGTTGCCAGCAAACACTTTGCTGGTCGGTTCCAAGTCTCTGCCCATTAGAAGGTATAGCTTTCGCACGGTGACTTTGATCACGTGCCTGCCAGGTTTCATGTCTTTCAATGGGACGTCCTCGTCTATCGAGTACTCGCCGGTTCTCTGCCGTTTCAAGACGTCGCGTGGATCGTGTTTCGGCCCTAGAACGTACACGACGCTTCCTTCTTCCAGGCATCCGGAATATATTCGAGCAAACGCTATCAACGTCGTGTCCGTCCTGTCGTTCTCATCGTCCATGGTATTATTCGCCTCGTCATCTTCGTCGGAGACTGAACTTTCCGATCGTGGGATCGGATCTCTCCGAGCGGCGTCATTCGAGTCCGCCGACTGCTGTTGTTCCCTTGCTAATCTTTCCGCGTGCCTCAGTCGCGCCATTTCCCTCCGCTCGGCCAGCTCTTCCGGCGTTAACGGTTTAGGCTTGTTTTCCGGCAGCATGCTCCTCTCTATTGGGAACATTTTCGAGATGAACGCAACGATGGGCGAGCCGGGAGAAGAATCGCAAGCCAAGAACTTCTCTCTCAATTGTTGCGTCTCCTCCGGCAATGTGGAGAAATCAACGTTCCCGCTGAGCAAACGTTCTACTTTCTCGGAAGTTAGGTGACACGGTGCTGGAACTATCTCGCATATGGCATCGAGACAAGCATGAGACAGTGGTAGCCACTGGGAGAAAATTGCCTTTAATTGAGTTTTAGGATCTGTATGTCTCAAGTCTCTCGTCGTCAGTTTTATATCTAACCTCTCGGCCATCGAAGCTATCTTATCCTTGTCCTTGCGGATGCTTATCGTTTCGTACAGAGTCCACAGATTATCCAAAATAAGTTGAACGAACAGGGGCTTCTTTGCCTTCTCTTGAGCTCCTTTCATTATCCTCTTGGTTTTCGTGTTCACGTAATAATCGCCCCAAAGCGTCTTCGCTAGAACGTTCTTGCTGAAGCCGAGTTTGGTGGAGAATATTTCGGCAAATTCTTTGATGCCAAATCCCCAGCCATCCGCCGCACTGGCAAATAGCACGTTACCTTGTTCAGGTGAGAAGTACAAGTTTGAGTCGTCCACCTCCTCTAGTACAGACTGCCAATCTTCTATGTTCCTTCCATGCACGATCTCTGCCGTTTCCTTTCTCAACTCTTCCTTCTCTTCGCGCTCCATTATGTCACTTGCAAACAACTCTCCCATCACAGCATTGACCTGCTCTAAAACTTGCGTCAAATGCACGTAAGCATCCAACGGGGACAATTTCATCTCTGTAATCAGCCTGTCTATCTTGTTCAATACCAGGATCGGTTTCAAACCTTCGGTGTATGAAATGGATAAAGCGCTGCGCGTCTGCGGGCACACACCTTCTACCACGTCGATTAGAATGACCGCACCATCGCATAGTCTAACAGCCGTTGAGACTTCAGAAGCAAAGTCTACGTGTCCTGGAGAGTCGATCAGATTGATGACAAAGTCTCCACGGTTGTACTTGTGATAAAGAGCAATCGAGCTTGACTTCATTGTAATTCCTCGCAACTGCTCGTCCGGGCGGCTATCCAAATATCGTAGTTTGCCAGCTAGCTTATTTGAAATGATCCCATTGCTGGCAACTAGCGAATCTGCTAATGTGGTTTTGCCATGATCTACATGAGCTAATATACAAATGTTTCGTATATTAGCCGGTGTCTTTTGAATTTCAGCTAACTTGTTCATAGTAATGAGTCGCATGATGAAATTTGTCGTGGTACTGTCAATTTATATATAAATACAAACAGTGTGAATTCTCTCTCTATATATATAAATATATATGGTATATATATATATATATATATATATATATATATATATATATA